CCATAGTTCACGGATATGACTAAAAACTTGTGTGACTTTGTATGTGTATTAGGTAATTACCTTACAATATCAGTTTGATTTTTGTTTGAAAAATTTGATCAGGTGCCTATTTAATCTTTAACCTTGCATTCTTTGCCTAAACCAAAAAATTATTTGTCATTGTAGGTTTGTGAAAATGTTTTCTGGACAAAGTATAAGTTTTGGTAAGATTGAGAAGAAAATAAAGTGTGAGATGATAAATCTCGGATCACCCAAGTCCGCAGCTATAAAGTCAGTTGATGAAATTAAGTATGCTCCTGAACAAGAAATACCTGATCTGCAAGGAGACCTCGATGATGATTTTGATACAAATTTCCTTTCCTCGGATTCAGAGGAAAACCTTCCCACTGACCATGATGTTGTAGAGATGGAGGATTTATCAGCACGTACAAATGATTATACAGAAAATTCAGAAATTTTCTCTGCAGAGTCCACTTCGGGTGATGAGCAAGATGTTAGAGAAGAGTCTGATTTCTCAGAACAAGAAAAGAAAGTCCAAGCAAAAGAGAAGAAGAAAAAGCCTAAGCAAAAGAAAGATAAGGTCCCAAAATTGAATATTCCAGGATCTGCGCGCAAGTAAGCTATAAGCTCATGAGTAAACATACATTTGCGCTTATGTTTAGTATCATTTCTTTAGTTTTACTTACCAACTGCTGCAATGTCGTGCAGGTTGAAAATCAAGGAGAAAGCTCTACTTACTGGTGTTATATCCAAATATGCACAAAAAAATACTGTTGCGACTGTGAAAGAACAAAGCTAACGATAGCCAGCATTCACATTTCTGTTGTGTTAGTAGCAGGGTTTATTGCTGTTTGGTACACTTCGTCTTCTGTCAATCTAAGTCTTTGAAGTTCATTTTTGTAGATTTATTTACATCAGTATTAAGCTTAGGTTTGTTGATTTGTTGCTTGTAAATGTCCGAATATGAATCAAGATTAGTAAACATATCGCGAGTCGCTAAATTAGTTTACTATCTCATTTTTATTAGTTACCGTTGTCAAGTATGCTGTATTTCGCTATTCTTTTAACTCGTTTGGTTGATCAATTGTGTCCCAGTTTCTTCTTCCCATAAGGCATTGCATGAGACATTGTGTTCCGATAAACTCAAATTTTTGCAGTTGCTGAACAAGTAACATAATTTAACATCAACTGCAACTGCAAAAGATTCTGAGATCAATTCATATTTCGTGCATTTAACATCTAATAACTTTTGCATCAACCAAGAAAACCTCAAAATTTCATCAATATACCAGTCAACACATGGGGGTTCAGTCTATCTAGTGCCGGTCCAATTGACCTACAACTTCAATATACACGAGGGCACAATGTTTATTACTCCAGAACAATCAAAAGATGCAGTCCCCCCAGCTGGAGTTTAATTTGCAATAGACCAGATTCAACAATAAGGCAACTATTAACATTTCTTGTATCAAAGACAGGTGAAGTTTTTTTTTTTTTATCAAAAGACTGCCCAAAAACGTATGAAGGCGGAGGAAAGATTATAAGACATACAACAGGCAATCAGAGTGACTTTGGTTCACCCAGCTACCCAAGTTACGTAAAAGACATATTTTGAAGTTTCCCCGCCTTACGAGGGCACACAACAACAACAACAACAACAAAAAAACCCAATAGTTTCCCACAAGTGGGGTCTGGTTATGAGGGCACACACTGACCTCCTAAATTCTGTCGGAAGAAAATGCTAGAAGTCCTAGTTGATGGTTTGGAGCATACAGACACCTAATCCTCTCTCTTTCCTCGGTAAAGAGGAATTTCAAATCTTAATCAATCATTTGACCAAACAAAATGGCTGAGAAAGCGAAGGGAAAAGAAAGACCATAAATGAAGTCAATCAACCCAAAAGGTGTTATTTGAGTTCAAAACGAGGAGCTAGACAGACAAATTGCAATTGCTAAAGCCAACTGTAAGCAACAGCTTTACTTTAAAGAGGGGCAAAAGAAAAGTAAGGTGACGAGAAAAGGGGAGCTTAACATACATAAATCGGTTACACACTAACAGAAAGATAGAATCTATAGCCTATCCGACTACACAAGATATGCAACATGCAGTAACAAAAGAGTCACTAGTTATTGGCTTCAAGACAAAGACGAGCTGACTAGGATCAAAAGGAATGACAGCAGAATGAGCCTAACCATGTACCTTCTACTCGAAAGGCTGTAGGTACCATTGATTCAGCAGTAACCAGATTGAGTTGGTTTAGTTAACACACTTCAATGACGTTTCAGAAAAAGAGACCTTGCTCCCTTAACCATGTTAATATTCCCTTTTTCTTTCTGAGAAATCAAATTAATCTGAGAATAGTGATTCAGAGCAGTGAGACCAAAGGAAACCATTAAACAGTGATGGCATAGATACATTGGCCATTCAAGAAATAGCAGTTCATGGAAGGTATCATGCCATCACCAGAAAATAGTTTGAGTGAAATAATAGCTACTGAGTGGTAAAAGATCGAAATGGTGCTGGACGATTTCCAATAAAAGGGGAAGACTACACAAGGTGGAGAATGTGGGATCTCAGCAAAATGAGAGTGTCAGCAAGTTTGGGACTAATTGAATGACATACATCTAAACTGCGCTGGATATATATGGAGTCAGAAAGTCATCTGCTGGAAGATATCCATACAAACATATCAGAAGAACATGGAAAAAGCATTAGGGAAACTCCAGGCCATAACCCTCACCGAAACAAGATCTATAAGAAATATGATGTTTGTTATTGAGCCTGAGTACTAGAATAGATCGATAGAGGTGTAACAACAAGGTTTTAACTACATCATGAATTGATAAGATGGGTTAACAAGGAAGCCAAGTGTAACTTGTATAAGGTTCCTAAAAGAAGTAATATGGAACTTCATCACTGATATGGAACTTAACAACGAAGCCAGTTCAAATCAAGAAACCATTCAAACAAATGGAGGAAGAAGCATTTCAGAAAAAAGACTTGGTTTCTACTGTAAAAAGGCTCACAACTAAATAACCGAACATGTCTGCGAAACAATAGACTATACATGTATCTGTCAAAATAGTTCAATAGTTCTTAACATTTTAGAAACCAATTCACTTTGATGTCTATCCATTTGATGTTCACAATCCCCATGGATGAAGATATTCACAATCTTCAACTTCACAAAGCAAAGCCACAAACCAAAGGACCTTGAAAAGAGAACTTCAAAACCATACTAAAAAAAATTCATTTTTCCATTTCCATCTCACTAATCCATCCTGTCTAACTGAGAATGTGTTCTGCATACTTTAATCAGGTGATTGGTCAAACAAATAGCTCAACACTTTAGAATCTATCCATTTCATAGAATTGGAAAAAAAGGTACTTCAATAGAGCAGAACATATTAGAGGATTCGTATAGTTGACCCCAACTAATTTGGAGTCGAAACTTATAAAGTGCCCACGATTGCACATGAACACAAATGCCTTAGTTATTCATCCATAAAACTTGAGAGATTTTAATTTCTCATAAGATCCTACAGCAAAATGCTAATAACCACATAGCAACACTTTTCTACCATGCCTTCAAAGATCCAAAACTACAAACTCCATTTCATAACCCATATCTATCAAAAGCTAAATACCCAAATTAACTTCACTTACTCCTACTCTCGCAACAGTATCACATATCAGTCTCACTAAATGACTGATAAACTAAACCCATTCTGAAAGTTCCTAAAAAGCCATTAACTAGTAAGAAAAACAAAAAGAACTAGCATTTTTCAGCAAATATAAGCTGGGATCTTAATGCAAATAAACAACATAGCGATAACATAAGCAAAGACAACAGTATTCTACTATGCATTCATGAGATCCAAGATTGCATACATTTCATTAACCAAATCTATCAAGAGCCAAAAATAGCCAAATCAACTTAAGCATACTCCTCGTCTACCACAGTATCAGATGTGTAGCTCTTTAAACTTTAGAGAGTCACAAACTAAAACAATTACTGATTATCAAAGCAAAGAAAAAAGGCTAAAACTTTCAGCGAAGATAAGCTGGGATCTTGATACGGATAAAGAGCATACTCATAACATAAGCCATCACAACAAACACAACCCCAGCTGAAGCAAACGAAACCTTAACACTCTTATCTCTGTTCTTATCAGTTGCCAAATCCAACATCACAATCCCAACACCACCAAGTACAAACATGAACCCAGAAGACAATCCTTCAATAATATACTGACCATTAACTCGACCGGGTAGAAAAACCACCGGTTTCACAGCACCAGTGAACCGGTCTTGTGTTGATCCAATTCCAGGGGGTTCAACAATGACGTCGTAAACAATGCCGGAGACGACCATGAAGTAGGTTAAGAGGATCAGGCTGTAAATTGTCATGGCGGAGGGAAGGGTGACGGTTGGGATTTTTAGGCGGAGCTTTGGTGGGCGGAGGAAGGAGAATGGGAGGATACGGAGGGTGTGGAAAAGTGGGTCGATTGAGTAGTCATTGGATGGATCGGAAAATTGGGTTCCTGCGGTGGTTGGTGAGGAGTGTGTTTCGAATTTTGGTGCCATTCTTGATTTTCCGGCAGCAGTTGACGGTGGAGGAGGATGGCCGTGGCCCGTGGGTCAAAAGATGGAGAAGATTTGCTGTTTTGGTTCCGTCAATGTATATATTTGGAAGAAAAACAAAAGAAAAGAAATGAGTAAATTACACGAAACACCTAATATGACTCAGTTGTGAATTAATATTTTGTATTATAAATTAAATACTTACATTCCTCGTGAAAATATTGAACAAATATATTATTGGAGAATTTTCTAATCTTTCTTTTGGTGTACTTCAGTTCAGATTAGAAAATATTGTTAGTCGTTAGTCATGATTTTACTTGAAAGAACACATGCATTAATATGATTATGGTAAAAACAGAAAAAGATTTTTATAAAAAAGGACGGGGTTTGAATTATGCTCTTGAAGATGAGTTGATAAATAATGATATGAGAACTGAAGAAAAGAAAAGTTTATTGACTAAATAAAATATAGAAGAGAGTATCTCTTTAGCAAACAATAAGCTCACATCTCATGAAAAACAAGTTAGAATGAAAAATTATGTAACTAATGTTTTAAAGGATGACGTGAAAGGAGCTACAAAGCAATTAAATATGTATATACAGTCAAGATCGGGCCTCTCTAACTTTGTGTGGCTTATTGAAATCGGGGTGATAGACGGCAGACCGAGGCCTGGCCCCAAATTACGTCGGACCATGACACGGAGATGGATCGCTAAGCTCGTGAGTTGATGATCGATCAAGATCGAGACCAGTCGTAATCGAGACCAAAGCGAGATGGGGACCAAGCATGATCGAAGAAAACTTGCTAAACCGAATAACATAAATCCGAGATATCCGTTACGGGGCAAGGATCGTGACTGAAATTTCGGCACATATCAAGTCAAGACCGGACATTTAGCCAATCATGGAATTTTCTTTTGTACTTAGAATTGTACCATAAGTGAAATTCCTCTACTATATAAAGAGGATTCTAATCATTTTGTAAGGGGATTCAAGCATAATCAAGCAACATACTATATTTTTCTCTCTTAAGCTCTGTTGTTCAGTTCATACATTTTTAGCATACTCTGTTGTTCGAGGGCGATCTAGCTCGAAGGCCATAATCACTCATCACATTGGTTTGCTTTATTTTATAGTTAACTTCTAGCATTAATTCTCATATTTCTCCGTTTGTGCCAAGTGAAATCATGTATCCTTAAAACCACTTATAAGTTTAATTGTTATCCAATTTTAAGGGTAAACAGTTTGGCGCCCACTGTGGGGATAAGGATAATAGTGATTGTCTGGCACAAATTCGCGTAACACACACTATTTTACGCTTGTTCTTTGAAGTGTCTTTGATTACAGATTGAAAGATGCCAAACTCTCAGTTAGCACCTCAACACATTGACAATGATCTCAGCCAACACAACGAGAATGAGAATATTGCACCAGGAAATATTGCACCCCCTGCTGGCCTCGATGGAGTTCCGGCTACAGATCCAATCGGCGTCAATTCACATGTAGCCATCAATGCAAATGTGGTCACCGATCCCGGAAGTAGTGTTCGTGGGGGTACCCGATCAGCTACTCAGAATGCGCATGGCAGTGAAGATGGCAGGACCAACCTGCGAGTAATCTTTGAAATGTTACAGGCCCAGCAGGCGGCAATAGCTCGGCTACAAAATAAGAACCACACGCTGAGCATGGCCGAACTCGATCCGTCCCAAGAAATTGTACACAGTGTCGAATCAACTTCGAGAAAATCGAATGAGAAGGAATCTGAGACAAATCCTGCTATCCTAAAAATGCTCGAAGAGTTGATGAAGCGAATCGAGACAGGAGAAAAGAACATCGAGGAAAATAATAAGAAAGTGGAAACGTATAACTTCAGGGTCGACCAAATCCGGGGGGCACCTCCGATATTGAAAGGACTGGATTCTATAAAATATGTACAAAAACCTTTTCCCCCAAGTGCGGCTCCGAAACCAATTCCCAAGAAGTTCTGTATGCTCGAGATCCCTAAGTATAACGGGGCGACTGATCCAAATGAAAACGTAACCTCGTACACATGCGCCATCAATGGAAATGACTTGGAAGATGACGAAATTGAATCCGTATTGCTGAAGAAATTCAGGGAGACTCTATCAAAGGGTGCCATGATATGGTATCATAATCTACCGCCCAATTCTATTAATTTGTTTGATATGCTTGTAGATTCTTTTGTGAAGGCGCACGCTGGAGCCATTAAGGTTGCAACGAGAAAGTCGGACCTTTTCAAAGTAAGGCAAAAAGATAACGAGATGCTCAGGGAATTCGTATCTCGGTTCCAAACTGAGAGAATGGATTTGCCATCGGTCACCGACGATTGGGTTGTTCAAGCTTTCACTCAGGGCTTCAACACTCGAAGTTCCATAGCTTCATAGCATTTGAAGAAAAATTTGATCGAGTATCCATCCATCACTTGGGCCGATGTACATAATCGATATCAGTCAAAGATCAGGGTCGAGGATGATCAACTGGGGACTCCTTCAAGGTTTGTTTATTCTAACAAGCTCGTGGATAGGATTAAGAGGGATATCGATCGAGAGTCAAGGTCAAATAGAGATCGGTATCAATCGTACAATGGGGACCGTAGAAGCAGTGGGTCTGGACGAAACTTTGCACAGAATGAGAGAAGAAATTATCGAGGTCAAAGTTCACGAGGTCTCATGAGCAAAAATGGTTTTGATAGGGATGTTGGGCCTAAAGAAGCTCCACAATTGTCGGAATATAACTTCAGTGTAGATGCATTAGCCATCGTTTCATCCATCAGACGTATCAAGGATACTAGATGGCCTCGACCTCTGCAGACCGATCCAGCCCAAAGAAACCCCAATCAAATATGCAAGTATCATGGTACCCATGGTCATAAAACGGAAGATTATAGACAGCTAAGGGAGGAAGTAGCTCGATTGTTCAATGAGGGGCACCTTCGGGAATTCTTAAGTGATTGGCCCAAAAAAACTTCAAAAAGAGAGATTCAACAGACAAAATGAGAAAGAAGAGCCACAACACGTGATTCACATGATCGTTGGTATGGTCGATATTCCTCAAGGACCGATATTTAAGTGCACCAAGGTGACAATCACAAGGGAAAAGTGAACTCGAGACTACTTACCGGAAGAGAACTTGTCTTTCAATGATGAGGATGTAGAAGGGATCGAACAACCTCACAACGATGCATTGGTAATATCTGTCCTTATGAGTAAAATTCAAGTTAAACGTGTTTTGATTGATCCAGGTAGCTCGGCCAACATTATTCGATCAAGGGTCGTAGAGCAGCTTGGTCGACGAGGTCCTTATGAGTAAAATTCAAGTTAAACGTGTTTTGATTGATCCAGGTAGCTCGGCCAACATTATTCGATCAAGGGTCGTAGAGCAGCTTGGTCGACGAGGTCCTTATGAGTAAAATTCAAGTTAAACATGTTTTGATTGATCCAGGTAGCTCGGCCAACATTATTCGATCAAGGGTCGTAGAGCAGCTTGGCCTACAAGGCCAAATTGTGCCTGCAACCCGAGTATTTAACGACTTCAACATGGGAAGTGAAACCACCAAAGGTGAAATTATTCTACCAGCAATCATGGTCGGGACCATCCAAGAAACAAAGTTCCATGTAATCGAGGGTGACATGAGGTACAATGCACTACTCGGAATATCTTGGATCCATAACATGACGGCAGTACCTTTGACCCTTTACCAAGTTCTTGAAGTTTCCAACATCGGAGGGAGTCAAAACGGTGTACGGGGTACAACCCGCCGCCAAGGATATGCTTGCAATCGACTAAGTAATATTGGTATCGGCACTTTATCAACAAAGGGATCGGAGTCACTGGAAGCCAAATAGCAACCATGGCCACCAGCCTCGACCCAACCGGAGGAGCAGGGAACTTACGAGGAGGATGACTATATTATACCTCGATCATTCATAATCCCCGATGATTCTGACACCACAAAGTCAACGGTCAAACAGTTGGAACAAATCATACTGATCGAGCATCTGACCGATTGAAAGGTATACCTAGGCACGGGGTTAACTCCCGAGCTCAGGAAAAATCTTGTTCAATTTCTTAAAGATAATATGGATTGTTTTGTCTGGTCCCATCTCGATATGACAGGATCCTGCCGAAGATCACTAGTCATAAACTAAGCTTGGACCCGAAGTTCCGCCCGGCGAAACAAAAAAGGACGCCTCAGTCCGAGGTCAAACACGCTTTCATCAAAGATGAGGTAACCAAACTTCTCAAAATAGGATCCATTCGAGAAGTAAAATATCCCGAATGGTTAGCGAATGTAATGGTAGTACCTAAGAAGAGAAACAAACTTAGAATGTGCGTAGATTGTAAAGACATGAATAAAGCATGCCCCAAGGATTCTTTTACTTTGCCTAACATCGATCGTATGATCGATGCCATGGCTAGCCACGAGACTCTTGGTTTTCTCGATGCCTACTCTGGGTATAACCAAATATACATCAACCTGGAGGATCAGGAAAAGACCTTATTAATCACTAAGTATGGCACCTACTATTATAATGTAATGCCTTTTGGACTAAAAAATGTTGGTTCAACCTATCAACGCCTAGTAATCGAATGTTCGAACAACAAATAGGGAAATCTATGGAGGTTTATATTGATAATATACTAATTAAGTCCCTGCGAGTAGAGGACTATTTGAAGCATTTGAAGGAAACTTTCGATATACTAAGGAAGTACAATATGAAACTCAACCCAGAAAAGTGCGCATTCGGGGTTGGCTCGGGCAAGTTTCTTGGCTTCATGGTGTCCAACCGGGGGATCGAGATCAACTCTAATAAGATCAAAGCTATTGAGGACATCACAATCGTGGATAATGTAAAGGTCGTACAGAGGTTAACGGGGCACATAGCTGCCCTAGGGCACTTCATTTCAAGATCCTCGGATAGGAGTCACCGATTCTTCTCACTACTGAAGAAGAAGAGGTGCTTTGCATGGACCCCAAAATGCCAATAGGCCTTGGGGGAACTAAAACGGTACTTATCAAGCCCGCCGCTGCTCCATACCCCAAAAGTGGACGAACAACTTTACTTGTACTTAGCAGTCTAGGAGATAGCAGTAAGTGGAGTCCTGGTCCGAGAAGAACAAGGTATGCAATTCCCTATCTATTATATTAGTCGGACCTTGGGTGAGGCCGAAACTAGATATCCGTACTTAGAAAAATTAGTGCTTGCTTTAATAAGCGCCTCTAGAAAACTAAAACCATATTTTCAATGCCATCCAATATGTGTCGTGACTACTTATCCTCTTCGAAACATTCTGCACAAACCCAAGCTTTCGGGTCGATTGGCCAATTGGGCCGTCGAAATTAGTGGGTATGGTATTGAGTATCGACCCCGAACCGCCATCAACTTTCAAATTTTGACAGACTTCGTGGCTGACTTCATGCCTGCCCTCGTACCCCAGGTTGAAAAAGAACTGTTGATGAAATCAGATACATCTTCGGGGATCTA